TCAACGATAAAGAAGAAAGAGCTGGACCTGTTTTTTACTTGTCGGAAGCTGGAACATCAAATTCCCGACGTGTTTCCAGCTTTAGAGTCGTTCGCCACAAGTGTCGCTGCCACCGCTGCAGCAAAACAGCAAACAGCCCAGCGTAAAAAAATTTCGAGACTGACGGAGAAAAACAAGGCAACCTACAACATCGACGGGTTTGTCACGAACCTTTCTTCAAGACTACTTTCTCCTTGTGAGACTGCAGTATTAGCAAAGGGTGACGGTTATAACAGGACAACGACGAAGCCACCTTTGCCAAAAATGGTTGCCACAATAGAAGACGGCATCGCGCAGCTGGATTCAAACGCTCGCGAAAGAGTCCGACAAAAAGTAGTTGGTGTGCTATCAAAACTTCCAAAACATCACCGACACAATTTATCAAGAGAAGAGGTGCAAGCTCTTCGGAAGCTTCGAGAGGACAACAACATTGTGATCCTGCCAGCGGATAAGGGCAACTCAACGGTCGTCCTAGACCGGGATGCCTACGAGCATAAGGTCCGCGATTTCCTTGACTGCTCTACATATGAAAAACTCTAGACAGACCCAACATCACAAGTCCAGACGAAGTTGAACAAGATTCTTGCGGATATTTTCAAAGGTAACCCAGATTCCGGGAGCCTTCACCTGCGCCTTATTTGCCGGAATGGCTTTACCCCCGGTTTCTACGGACTTCCAAAAATACGCAAACCTGACGTTCCCCTCCGACCCATCGTTGACTTCACCACCTCTCCGCTCAAAGCGTCGTCAAACTACCTTCATCACACTATCTCTCCTCTCGTTGGGAAAACCCCAACATATGTGCGCAATGCCAGCGACTTCGTGGAGCAGATTTCGCATTTAAAGATAAGCGCCGGGGAGATTCTGGTATCTTTTGACGTGATATCTCTGTTCACAAGCGCTCCGGTCTCCTTAGCAGTCATGACTGCCAGAAGCACCCTGGAGAAAGACAGCGATTTGAGCAACAGGACCAAGCTCAACGTGGACGAACTTTGCCGCCTCCTTGAATTCTGCCTGAGTAACACTTATATCAGCTTCAAAGGAGAGTACTTTAAGCAGACCAGTGGAACCGCAATGGGGGCCTCCATCTCTGTCGCCACGGCAAACCTGTGCATGGAAGCCATAGAACACAAGGCTCTCCAGTCCTTTGCTGAAAGCCCCAAGGTGTTTCTGAGATATGTGGACGACTGCTTCTGCGTCATGAAGACGTCTCAAGTAGACAACTTTTTGACACACCTCAATTCGATCGGCCTAACATCCAATTAACCGTGGAGCGGGAAAAAAACACCTTACCGTTTCTCGATGTGCTTGCACAAAGGCAGAAAGACCATCTCCAGTTCTCAGTTTACCGCAAACCAACGCACACCGGAAGGTACTTACAATTTGACTCCAACCACCCAACGAGCCATAATGTATCGGTGGTAAACATACTCCTATCAAGGGCAAAGAACCTTTGCTCAACTGATTCTGATCGACGAAAAGAAGAAAAAAACATCATTTGCGACCTCAAGAAGAACGGATATACGGGCAGCTTCATACACCACATTGCCCGTCGTGAAAACCGAAGCCGACAACACCGCCAGTCGCAGGTTGATACGAAACACCGGCCAACCACGCGCATCAGCGCCCCATACATCAAGGGAATAAGTGAAGCGCTGGCACGGGTGCTAGCAATGGAGGGCATTCCGATGGCCCACAAGCCAATTTCAACCCTTGGACGCTTTATGCCACGACCAAAAGATCGGCCCCCTAAAGAGAAAGCGCAAGGTGTGGTGTACGAGATTCCCCGCGCGGAGTGCCCGTCCTCCTACATAGGGGAAACAAAAAACTATCATGAACGGATTCGTCAACACAAGGCTGATGTGCGCCACTTCGATGAAGAGCGCAGCGTGGTTGCTGAACACTGTGAAAAAAATGACCACCGCATTGACTTTCTAAACACACGTATCCTGGACATTGAAACTAATCCTCGCCGGAGGCTCTTCCTTGAATCTTGGCACATTCAGACCACGCCAACAAACATTAATAGGTCTCTTGGCGCACTGCCATCTGTGTATGTGAACGGACTCCTCCAGTTGTCTTCAAAAACGATCAAAGAGGAGGAAGATGGGATCATGCACTTTCGCCTCCGTCATAGAGGAAAAAGAAGATTGCGGCTCCTTTCCTCCATAGTCGCCCCTCAAGAAGAAGCCGAACCGGCTTCGAAACGTTGGGCCCCTGATTTAGGGATTGGTTGGTCGTCGTATTTTAATAATCATTTCCCCAACCAGACAGACTTCTGTCTAATGTTTACTTTTAAGAACAGGTTTTATTCTGACTTTGAATCTAATTTAGTGATTTGAAAAAAAAAAGCTACTTTGATTTCAATGTTACTTACATTTATTACTTAATATATGTATATCTATGCAGTTTCTGAAATTTACGTATCAAGCTAAATGATAATCGAGTTCTCTTCGCAGCTAAGGGCCTTAAGCCAACATGTGCCATGCAGTAGCAGTTGAGGTTGTATGGAGTCTTTAACTTTAGAGCTAATCTTTTGTCCTTCCTTTATGTGTGGCAACCGCTGCTCTAGAAATAACCGAAGTACAGACATAAAATACGGGGAACCTTTTGCGTCCAGAGTGATTCTCGGTCCGTGGTACTTCGTGTTTCTCTCAGTTTTTCAGGTAGGTTTACAGAAACAATATTTTTTTTGACAAGAGAAAATAAGATTAAAAATAATTCCCGAGTGAACTATGGTTCAAAACAAATTGTATTTTCCAGTGTGGTTATGTTTGGTTACTCGTCATCGATGAATTGCAACAATGACACTGTCAACAGTACATTTAGATGCTAAACAATTTTGTACCTTGTTCAAAAAGCTAACGTTTTATTCATTGAAAATGCAATAATTTAGGGGTGACCAATTGTCTTCAATAGTTAAACATTACTTGGTTGGCTAGCTCCTGCTTAAAATACATTGTTTGTTTATCCGACCATTTGATACGATCGATATTTTTGCTCACATTGATCTAATTACTTTCTCGTTCGCTTTATATGTCGTGTTTATTGCGCAGTCTACATAAATAAAAACATTTCCATATTTTGAGCAAGAAGAGCTAAGTCCGCATTATGACTTAAACTTTACTTTAACAAGCATAGTTCGAAGTGTTTCGCGCGCGCTTTGTGGGCTGAGTACTGAGCTGCAAAGATGTCTTAAGATAAACTTATTTTGTTACTTAGCCTTTCAAAAAAAGAACGTAAACTAGTGTTTTGCAACGACCTTTCACTAACAGGTGGGTTTAAATGTTCTAACAGAATAAAAACACAATGCAACTCCTCAGTATTTTTATAAGTTCTAATCGTAATGTACTTTTCACTAGTTAGGTGATATCCAAAAAAATACCATTGCCTCAAAAGCTACAGAGAAAGGCCATATTTAGTTTACATTTTCCGGGGAAGGCCAGGAATTCGTACACCGAAAAAACATATGCGCACGTTGGCACAGCTGTCACTAAAAAGGCGTTGTGCAAGTGATCAACGGCCGGAGCGCTAAATTGGGAAACACGGCGCGGCGCTGCGAAGGCGCAAATACACAAAGAGCAAGAGTGGTCGGGCCTTTTCCACCTTACAATCTGTAAGAGGCTCGGCAGGCAAATATTGTTTGCAATTTCTTTTGTAATATTGTGTACCGCTGCTCTCAAAGAGCAAGCATAGAAGGACTCTTGTGCACGGTCGTGTATTACCGGGGAAAGCCTGAAGCAGATAAGTTGTAATTCAAAAGTGCGCTTTGGGGTTGGCTGGTCTCTGCTAATCTCCCCCATACTGCAAAAATGATACTGGTCCAGAAACCTTCTGTGTTGGTTGGCCGGTGATTTCGCGACTGCAGCGCCACGCTTCACTTTTTAACTCGACCCCAAAGTTGCTCCTTTGTACTGAGCTTTTTAGAGCGCAGCTCTTAGGCGCCCGTTTCCGGCCTGAGTGGCGTCGCCGTCCTTGTCGGTGTAACCAAGGTCACTCCAAGGTCACGTGACCCCCAAGGCCGCGTGACCCCTCCCTCAGGGTCACGTGACTCCTCAAGTCACGTCACCCCCTAGGTCAAGTGACCCCCCTCCCTCGAGGTGACGTGACTCCCCCTCCTCGAGGTCAAGTGACCCCTCTCCCGCCGAAGTCACGTGACACCCCCCCGGTCACGTGACCCCTCCCCCCCCGTCGGCGTCGGCGTCGGCGTAACCGCGAGTAACCCTCATAACCCTCGTGAGGGTTACGAGGGTTACTCTCACAAGGGTTACCCTCATGAGGATCACGAGGGTTATGAGAGTTACCCTCACGAGGATTATGAGAGTTACCCTCGCGAGGGTCACGAGAGTTACCCTTACAAGGGTTACTAGGGTTACCCTCACGAGGGTCACGATGGTTACACAGGTCACGTGACCCCCTCCTCTCTCAAGGTTACGTGACCCCCTCCCCCAAGTTCACGTGACCCCCGTCGACGTCATCGCCACTATTGACGTTATCTGTGACGTCACTGATGACGTCACCGGCACCCGCATCGTCATCCTCATCATCACTGATAACGTCATCAGTGACGTCACCAGTAACGTCACTGATGACGTCATCGGCATCGTCACGTGACCCCCCGATGTCACGTGACCCCCACAAGGTCACGTGACCTCCCAAGGTCACTTGACCCACCCCCCAGTGCCCTTCCCTCCTCCTGCTCAAGAGGTGCGCTCTAATTTGGCGTTACAGGGAGTTGTAATCGGCTTTCAAATTTTATTGCCAGCTTTACTTTTTCTTGCGTGATAGTCATATATCCGCCCCCCCCCCCTCCCCCTATTTTTCGCTTACTTTAACAAATAATGACAGTTTTACAATGTCAAACATACATTTGAGATAACTTTTATATATCAGGGCTGGAAAGGTTCTTTTTTTAAAGATATCGGTTGTTGACTGATCGTAATGTGGAATTTTCACTCAACCCTTGAATGTAGTTGAATTTCCATTCGTCATAAGAGCAGCAGGAGAAATTCGACAGTTTAGTAGACTCGCCGTTTTTACTCATGACGTAACCAGTGTCAGTGGAGCATGGCTTGGCTGGTGACCTCAAATCGTCCCACTTTATTCCAAACCTGCAAATAAAAAAAAAAAATAAAAAAAAAGTTGACCGCCAAAAAAAGTGCACAGTTGCGACCCTCTGAATGCACGCATCGCAACGGTGTAGAGACCGGAAATTTTTAAGAATAACGCAGTTCCGCAGTGGCTAATAACTATTGCGCGTACGAAGGGTCATTTTTTTGTAACGGGTAGGCGTGAATCTTGCCGGGGCAGTCTGAACAAACATCTACCAGTCGAGCCGCAAATGTGAAAGTAGGTTTTCCCGTAGCAGTGGGCAAGTGACAACAGTTCGTAGGTGTGTTTTTCTGTACCCTTGTGCTACACCCAGTTTTCGCCTACAAGCAAATAAATGGCGACCGGTAATCTTCAGAATTACTTTTGGTCTTATGAGCGCCCTCCTCCCATTAAAGTATTTACGTGGTGATGCAAAAATAAGTTATGCTTTGAAAATCTATAAAGTTAATGTGGAGGTTTTAGCTTAAAATTATTTTTTCGACCGTTTCATTAAGAGCGATAAAAGCGTTCTTTCTGAGGCAAACGCGCGATGCTACGGCTTTAAAGGATGTTTTTTGTTTCTTATTCAAGGACGTTCTTACGGCTCTCAATAAACAAAAGATGTGACCCTCTAATTCAGAGTGGCGTAAAAAAGTATATGATATATACGATTGAACCTTGCGGTCCCGAATTTGTAATGGGCAAAACTTAAATACTGTCAAAGCGGATTTGAGTTACATCTGAATGGACCTGGTGTTGCGAGCATGTGTGTGGTTTCATAACTCTCTTTTGACTGTCTCATAAGTAATCAGGTCGCTGCCGTTTACATTTTAAAGAGACATTGGCTAAGAAAAAAAATAATAACTCAGTTTCAAGGAGTCGGAAATCGTTTACAGATCATCTATAATTCGATGGTTAGCTACACAGCTTAAAAAGAAAAATTTTGTATATTGTCTTTTAAAAGTTTTATGTGACTGTGAGTCAAGCTACCGAATTTGAGATAAAATTGAATATTTCATTCCGGCAAGCTCAGTGGTATCACAGTCACGACAGCGGAAACAACGCGGGCTTGGCGAATCCGGTTCGTCTTGCTATCGCTCCTCAGCTGTTGATATTGCGTAATTAATTGATATCATCGCCGAAGAATGAATCGTTAAGGGAGATCCGGATCATAATCAGAACAAATTGACACCTTTAAGAATCACTTGTGTTTCTTAAAGGTGTCTAATTGAAAGTTTTGTACTAAATTCATTTTCTAATATACCGCAATGAATCTACACTACTAGAACATAAAGTTTTTTAAAAAAAATTATATCAATTATAAATATAAATTATAATAAAACCGGGCGAAACTATCTTGCCACTTTACTGATCCGCCGCCTTGTTGTGGCCATCCAACGTTATATAAACAACCGCTACGTGAGCAGCTAGAGCCTTCTGGAGCAATGAAGGCCTCCAAACGCCCCGATTTTCCTGCCATGGAACGTTATCAGAGTCGGATAGCACCAGCTCAGCAATAGACGTTTTCCAAAACTGGAAGTGCCTCATCCAGGCGAAATGGCACGTTATGAATGTTTAAATAAGTAAACAGCAATATACACACGAGCTCCGCTCCTGGCCCAAAAGTTCTTCGAATTAAATGCACAGGGTGAGGGATTTCTGGACGTAGTCTATTGGATACGAGCTCGATGCCGAGCGTCCTTCGACGCCTTGATTGGACACGAGACCCAGCCGGGCACAGACATCGCACTCGTATCCAATCTGTGTTTTCGCTCAACTTCACCGTAATGACGTCAAAAGTTTAGTGCAGGTGGCTTTGATTATTTTAGTTACTGTTGGTTTAGTAAAGCGATCGTCCGCAGACAAAAATTGACTGTATGAATGTATGTCTGATTAAAGGAATTACGAAATAATGTTTCAAGATTTTGATCACGACATTTCAGACGATTCGCCGTTCGCGTCTGATCCACCGGTATCGTCTCTGAGGGACCACCCTCGGCATCTGCGTTCGCGATCCGCCAACATGTGGGCCCAGATGCCGCCACATAAGAAGGATGATGTAAAAGGTTTTGTTTTCTTGCATGGAGCAAGCGGTTTTAGAGCATAACCCGAAAGCTGGGACCCAGCGTTTGCGTCTAATATCTTAAACCCTCTTCCGCTCACAGACTTTTCGGTCGGAAATGGATGAGACGTCACTCTGGTGTGTTTCATCCTGGTGTTACTGCACCCCACAGCATATCGCCAATTTCCCCATCCTCTATCGCATGCAGAAAATAGCCTACACCAGACAAAACTTGCTAAACCACAGACGCTCCCTATAAACACACACTACTCCGTGGAGGAAGGAGCGTCTATTCTCCGGTACAACGCTTCAAGTCACGAACGATTCCAGCGCCGCCCCTGCTCGTTTTTGCCGATGGAGTGGGCAGAAAGTGATTAGGATGCGTAAGAGTAAACTTTAAATTTTAACTTCCACGAAAGAAAATATTTTTTAGTCTATTGATTGTTGAACTTATTTTATTGAACTCGGGGTGCAGGTGTGGATATCATTTGCATGATATTTTTTTAATAAAAATCGAGGGCCATTATTATTTAATTGGAGCTGCCATTCCTGACGGGGATGATAGCATAGTTTGCCGAACCTTTAGCGGTTCAAATGAGGCCTGGAACGACCTCGGGAATGTGATTTTATCGAAATTTTCCCCAGCCGAGCAAAGGATGAGGGGGCTGGGGGGGGGGGGGGGGGAGTTAAGTAAAGCCAGTGTAGCCTGTTTGTCTTCAATGTCCCTCTTTCGTTATCGTAAATTAGAAACCAACACGCTCAACCATTTACAAAATACTGTATGGAGACTTTAATAGGAATAGGGCTCGCGAGTTAGGTTTTTTTCTTATTAGAGCCATCTGGAGTGAGTCCCCTTTAGTTCCAGTCTGCTTTCTGCGAACAAAATGAAGTCAGTGATCTAATGCAGTACATTTAGTAAAAAGAAATACGTTCTCGGAGAGACGTCGCAATTATTCGTGCCTACGAAAGGCGTTTTGACAAAGCATCGCAGTGTCAACAAAACGTGTGTCCACGAAACCTTATTCCACGAATGACGTGCTCATCAAGAGACCATGAAACGTATTTTAACGATGTGTGGACAAACAAATGATCCCTTGAAAAAAAAAAAGCCCTTATACACTTGCGCTCCTCTAAAAGAATGCAAACTTCACACTACATCGGACATCAAATCTATGCGCTGTCTTTGAGAATCGTGAGTGGTGGCAGTTTCAAAATTATTTGACTCCCGCGAAACACAAAATGATGAGTAAGAAAATCGAAAATCTGCTCAGGTTGGAAGTGAGAACGGGAAACCCTGAGATGGAGCCACTCAGCTTGTTGCAAAGCAAACGAGAGATGAGTAGCTTTACGCCACTGGATTTCGTATAGCATACACTCTAGAAAGCAGAATTCTAAACTGGAAAGAGTATCAAGTGAATTGTGCTGAATAATCACCATGTTTAAAACCTTACCCCATGCGCGTTCTCAAGGCCGGACGGATTAGACCGCAGTAAGGAGTTGGTTGGGTTTTCAGGAGGTCACCACGAACTATTCAGGGGTCAGCGACAATGCTTTCATTGAGCTTAAAAGGTGGGAAGGGTGGAAGAACGCGTTTACAATGGACCATTTTCCTAACCCAATTAGCACATGAAGTAAGGCCTCTGTATCGACCAATGGGCAAAACGTGCTGGGGCAGGGCATACAAAATGTCGGTGCGGCGTGCGTATTAAAAATTTGAGCTGCCCATGCAATATCTCCGTTTGTTCTACTTCGGTTACTCGAGGGCAAATTAAGCGCAGATATAGGCCAAGCGAGGGTCCGCCCACTTGCGCTGCCAACGCAGTATCGCGTAGGCCCCACTTCAGCTACGCTTGGGCATGCCCACCATCGGCTGCACCACCAATGTTGTCCGGGATCCCAGCTCAGCTATGCGGGGCAGGTTTAGCACAGAGGCGGGTCCACGGGGGGCATCGTGTGGTCATGGTTTGCCCGTGCAATGCCCCCGCGGGTCCCGCTTCTGTTATGCGGTGCAGAGTTATTGCTACGCAAGCCCACAAAAACACGACATCAAGTTCGCAGTTTAATTTGGAGCGGAAATTAAAATATATCGCGAAAATGTATGCTGTCATGCGAAGTCACAGTGTCACGTGACATCACGGTGTTATATGACCCGATGTTACTTCCTCATATCCTCGCTAAGTACAGCGGAGAAATGTTTCGCTGAACGTTTATAAAATGGTCGGTTCTTTTAAGATTTCATTAAGATCTATTACACCTTCCTAGCATTTGACGGAACGCCTAGACCCGAGAACTTATTAGGAATCAAGGACATAAAAAGTGGCAGCGTGCAGGGCAAACTTAGAGACACATAGGTTAATATATGCATCACTTACAGTCGCGCCATTTGCTGTACCATACCAGAAACTCCAGTAAACGATCGCCCATCGTCTGTTGACAATGCAGCTCGCCGCTGATCACATGGTCCGAGGAAATAAGATGCAGATGCAATATATTGCGCTATAAGTTGGTGACAAATTTTATGGCATTTTTCAATAATATATTGTAGTATGAATAGTGTCGGAACATTTTTATTTGTGACATATGCATACACAACTGAAAGAGAAAAAAAAATGTTCGCATCCCGTTAAACCATACACGTAATCGGTTCGTACTACCGCCTACCGGTAAAAAAATTTGTTCACCGGTTTGGTCAAACTGCTCACAGGCTTGATCGAACTTCTCACTGGTTTGACCAAACCGGTTTCTTTTTTAACCTAGCGGTATGCGGACCAGCTCGCAACGCATATTAGTGTGGCGGACCAGCTTGACACTGCTTACCTGTTCGGTGAAACGTGTGAACAGCTTAAGCGAACCGGGGAGAAGTTCGGTGATACGGCTGCTTTACAGCCATGTATGAGAAAGAGAGAGAGGAAGAGAGAGACGGAACGTGCGGACCTGCTCTTCGGTACTCCTTGTTGGGGCTTGTAGCCGTTTGGACGTGACAGAACGCTCTGCCGACCACCTCAAACCAGGCTCCCGGAAAAGTGCTAGAAGGTACGCTATGTTGCCCCTTGGTACTACACTCTGTTTCTCTTTACGATGAACCGCAGCCGACGCTACGAGCATCTCAGCAAATCCAGTGCTGTAAGGTGTCAGGCAACTAAGAGCCCCGCTCGTAGTTGTACCCTTATGAGGATCATACTCACTCTAGCAGTGCTGTGGATTAACTCGGATGGCTTGAAGCGTCTGATGCGATCGTTTGTATGGTGAGCCATTATGTACAGTCAGCACGAAATGAAACCCGAACGCCGGAACGCGTGGCAGTTGACACAGGCTGCTCTACCTGGAGGATCCCTGACAGCTAATGAAAATGCGCCGGGGCGCGAGGGTGCGAGTCCTACTAAGATGAGCTCGACCCTTGGGCGGCGCGTCTGGGTTTACCGCGTTTCGCCGGTGGCACGCTGTAAGCGCCGTCACATCCGATACAAAAAGCACTGTCATTCGCTTTGTGTATTGAATTCCCAGCGATATCTCTTCAGCGCTGTAATTCATTATCGCTTTGTGTATCGCAAGTGCGAAATGAAAGTTGAAGCATTTTGTGCACAGAAGACCCGTAATGCGTGATGATGTGTCACCAGAACCACGCTGGGGCTCCGGTAAACAACGTGCCACGCGCGGTTTCTGAGAAATAGTGAAACGTCATAAACGCATAATAAAATTTGTTTAGTCGCACGACCATACTCTTTATGAAAAAAAAATTCTGCAACAGCCGGTTGCAGATGACTCGGTTTTTATGAGCAATGCCCATGTTTTGTGCGTGGTTACCAGTCGAATCTTAAAAAAACGAGGAATTGCTTCCTGACGCTATTTTAGTAACCACCGATATGCCAGGAGGATTGATTCCGGAGCGGAATAAATTCATCACACTGTCTGAGAAGGGCCTAACGCAAAGAGCTATAGCCAGGTTAAACGGCTGCCCGGTGTCAACCGGGCGACAGTACGGCGACAGAAAAGCACCCCGAGCAACGGCGCTTACAGCGCGCCACCGGCGAAACGCGGAAGTCCCAGACGCCCCGCGCGAGGGTCGAGGACATCTTAGTAGAACCCGCACCCTCGCACCCAGGTGCATTTTCACTAGTTCTCAGGGACCCTCCAGGTGGAGCAGCCTTTATCGATGTCCACGCGTTCCGGCGTTTCGGTTTTATTTCATGCGGACTGTAGTGATTTATTAAATGCATTACCATTTATTGCACTTGTGCATGCAGCAGTCGTTTTATTTTTACGGTCGTGGTTTGGACAGGACAAGAATCGTTTGGTGAGACCCCGGCGCGTTTCTCGCAATGCTCTTTCTCTCTGTTCGTTAGCTGGATATGTCCCCTTTCCCTTGCTCGGGCAGAGGACAAGGTGGGCGCGACATAAGGCGCGGTCCACCGTGCATGCACCAGTGGGGCATGGTGCAGCGCGTGCGCCATCGTGCGAATCTCCCAAATCACTCGGAAGGTGTACGCGCGAGGGAGCTGGGTAGTCCTGGTTGTCATGTCGTCTGCTAGCTTACGGCCACCTTGAAAGGGAACTCGCGTTTTAAAGCTAATACAAATACACGTCTCCAAGTCACGCACACATTGTTTCAAGGTTCAAAAAAGCTTCCTCTCCATTGCACATTAGTGAAGATCTTCGTTTCGCGAAGGCGAAGTGAACAGTATCCGGAGCGTATGGCGATCGAGGACGGCTGTAGTGGCTGCATACGAAACCACCAACGCCCGGGAGAACATATGCTGGCTCCCCGGAGACAACTGTATGACGACGGTGACGAGGTTGCTATTCCAACCCTTCGCTGAGTTGAAAACCTCTACGTCAATTGGCAGCGCATTTTGTCTAAAATTAGCGTAGCGAGAGCGGCGAACACCTCTTGTGTCCCTCCATTCGGTTGCGCCCATGTGCTTACTTTCGAAAATTGCGGACAGCGGGTGCAACCAGTATTGGAATCCGAAATATCCAGCAAAGTAATCTCCCGCGGGGCGGCAATTCCGCATTCGAACGCCACTTTTCAGCGCAGCACGCTGGTTCCAAGTGAACTTGTTCCTTGTAGCCCATATATTAATGAATTCTTTATTCATTTAAACTTTCTGTTGATTTTTGCCTATGCAGGGTTGTCAAGTTCTCAAGGATGAACACCTTTAGTGCAGTCTTCGAGCTACATGTGACAACCTCATCTTGAGGTTAGGCGCCATGGTGGACATGAACAGTGCGTGAGTGTGTGCGTGCGCCGACTTCTATACAGGGGCTGGGAACTGGCGAAGGCATTACCGGAATTTCAAAATCGGCTGTCCCAGGCCTCGTTAGCGCTAAGGAAATTTTTAGGAAGGAAAAAGAAAGGCAGTCGCTGCGCAGATGAAGCCCAAAGACGACATGCGTGGTCGACGGGCGCGATTAGCGGCCGGACGTGAAGCACCCGAGAGACAAAGGGGAAATAACCAACGTGAAGAACGCTCAAGCTGCAAGACAGCAGTGGGACTGTGAGTGTTTGTCAGCCGAGTCCTGCAATTTCCGATTTCATCTAAAGCTGAGCGTCTCGGTCACACGACGAATGCACCATTTTGCACCCTGAGTTTTAACTTCAAGTCCTCACGTTGCGTTTCGTGATTGCATCGTTTATTTTAGCGGGTGTCCGTGTGTACCATTTCAGATGGTACCATTTGCGGCTAACGAACGATTTGCCCTAAAGGGTACCGTATTAAATGTGTAGTAGTAACAAACCAATACCAGTATAAGCGATTGCCTGTATTAAACGAGTGCTGGTATAAAACGAATAAACTCAAGTGTGCCCGTATCAAAGGCGGGCCGGTATCAAAGGCAAAGCACCGGCCAAGCGCTCGTCGGAGGCTCGCTACACCCGTGCCACCCAGCAGAAGGCGATCGGCGACAGAACGGCAGCGTTGTATGCGTTACCGAAAAACGTAAAGACATAAGTAAAGACATACGTAAAGACATACGCGTTACGGAGCTACCTTACCTAAAAACTAAAGGAACGCGTTACCGCTACCGATAAATAGTAACGCACGTTACTTCCGCGTTATTTTTTTTTAAATCATGATTTAATACGCTTTACGGTTCTGACGATAGAGGTATGGATAAGCTCATATATCAAGAAACATTGTGTTCATGCAGAAACTGAACATAATTACGTTATTTCTTTTACGGTTTCACCTAAATACTCACGAGAAAGAACGCAAAGAAAAACATGGCTCAACGCCTAAAAGCAAGGAAACAAAATTTAAGTGTAATTTCTTCAAGACTTGGGAAGTGTTACTCGTTACTGTTTTGAAAAAGTAACGAGTAGGTTGCTAAGTTAATAAAAAAAGTAACGCGTTCCTGGTAACCCCATTACTTGTAAGGTGTTACCGCCAAGACTGCAGAACGGAGAAAGCGTTACCGCTTGTCATGCCTTGTGGTCATGAGGGTAGAAAAAACATACCTTGACTGCAAGACGCTGTGTGTATTTAATCAATTATTAAATACACTTCCGTTTACCTACAGTCTGCTGATCCCGCAGGTAGTGAGGAAACCGACTCGAAGCAATCGTAGGCCTCGAGAGACTTGTACGCCTGCACCGTGCCGGCCCTTAACTGCCTTGGCAAAAAAAAAAAAAAAAACTGAATAAACGACGACGTGAGCCGTCGACTTCGGTGGCAACAACTTCACGTCGGAAGTCCAGCGGGCCTTGTTTACTGCGTACGGATCCTCGTAGGCAACGCCGTCCAAGCACAGTTAGTTTCGGTACCGCTGCCGTTCAGGCTCGGGTAGGGAGCTCAAATAATCGTGCATAGCATATACAAGATACGTTGTCGGAAATACGACGCACAAATAATGCTAGAAGCGTCCCTTCAACGTCAACAACGAGCGCACCCCACACAACGCAATGGCAGAAACTTGGAGAGCCCGGCCGTGCCACTTTTGCCCACACAGCTACCGCGCATTCGCGGCCTTCTGGCCATGCTGGTAAACAGAGCCGCTCCGCGTGTCGGTCTGTACACATTTATTTACAAATAAATTTCAGAATAAATTTGCAAGAAGTGCATTTATGTAGAAATCACTGTCCACTGCACACTACTTGCAAAAAGTACACTCTTCGGAGGCGTGGGTGGTGGTCAACCGGAGTGAGACTCCAAAGGACTACTCCTCCTCGGCAATGGGTAATTGATAAGTTCCGCAGGGGGTTCTGGGAAAACTGCCAGGTCGGGGACGGCCAGTAGTTCAGGAATAGCAGTCTGACCATGAACCGACTCTTCCGACTCGGACAAAGAACCAGGTACAGGCACCAGAACAGGCCTGGGAGTAGATACAGGAACCAGAGACCCTGGCACAGTAGCGTGGACCGGCTCCACTGAATGCCCGATGTCTTCAGCGAGACCCGAGCCATTAGCACCAACAGGAACAGGAGACACGGTCGCAGAAGGGTGGCCGGACGCTTTGGAGTGTCCCAAGTCCACCGAGGAACCAGGGAAAAGCCAGGGGTA